TGCATGGGTGTTTATATCCTTCATATGGGCTTCTGTGATTTATTTCAGATTTTTCCCTCATGATCTAAGGTTGTTTTGCACTTTCCGTGCTTTGTTTTGACTGGGCTCTTCCTTATTTGGACGGAAATTGGTCTTTGCGATCTGCCAAAGTGCAGATCTCGGTTCCAATGGCCAGTTCCCTTTGCATTGCCACTGTTACAAAAATGGGGCCGGAGGTGCCCATTTTCGTCTGTCCTTAGTGCAGGAAGAGGGAAAGGTTGGGAAATGGGGTTCATATGGTTATACAGATGTTAGCACAGCGGGTTTTTGGTTGTTTATTGATTTGATTAGACTCAATTACTATACAAATCATGTGATACAGAACCCATAAGAGTCTAAAATGGGAAATTCCCATTTCCATAACAGCCACCCTCACGTGTCATTAAACATGATGCGGATTTCTATATTCCCGTCATTGGTATAACTTTACAATGGCTGGACCGTTTGGGCTGAAAATTTGCATAACTATAGTTTCCTATTTTTTCATAATTTCCGTGTAAATTTCGTTGTATGTTTTAATTATGGATCCTACGTAAACATCGTTTTTTCCCTGAGCTCGGACTTTTGATGTCGCTATTCCCGTTATTGGATATCTCATTAATGCATGATCCTTTTATTATGAAAATTTGGATCCCTTCCTTTCTAATGGGCTATCAAGCTCGTCTCGGTCGTTACTGGTTATTCTTTGCACTTGCCTTTTAAGCATTGTCCTCGTTTTGCAGGAGTTTTAGTCATATCTCTGTCATTTATGGGTAGTTTTCCCTGTAATTACTTTCATTGGGTCCGTTTGGGGGACATCTACATTTCCTATTATAAACACGACTTTGAATTTTGCATTAGTTCCTAAGGAATCCTTGTTCCGCAGTACTTCCATCCTTGGCTACATGTGCGGACATGGGAAAGTAGTTTCCGTGGAGGTTCTCTGATTGTTTTTATAGTCAAATCTTGGTCGATTGTCCTAATTCTTGGTTTAATATTTGCTATAAATTCCCCCGAGAATTCCGTCTCGTTGATGGTAAGCTTGAAGTATTTTTGCTATTTTTCTTTCTTTCGATTTATCGTGTATAGTCATAAAAATTCGTTAAAATTCGTTAAAATTCAGGTCCTTCTATTTTCTCATATCTACTTGTCATATGAGGTTTTGTGATTTATCTGGCATATTTCCATAATGGGTTTCCATAGTGTGACCGTTATTTCTCCTACAACGTACAACTCAAACACAATGCAGCAAGGAGACTGCAATGCTCCCTGTACCTTCCAGCACGTGTTGACCTGGGAACTATGAGGAGAAGTAGGCAGACACCTACATGTCTGGTTCGATGATATCTTCACCAGCACAAGCTCGGTGGAGAACCACAATAAAGCATTATTGTGGTTGTTTACTTGCCTCAAGGGGGCAAAGTTTTATATAAGCCAGAAAAAATTCCAGCCATTTGCTCCAATCCTAGACATCCTAGGAAGCCATGTGGACGAACAAGGCATCCACGCTCAAGTGGATAAAATGGAAAAAATCCGCAACTGGCGAGAGCCAGTAGACCACACAGGAGTCCTAAGATTCCTGGGAATGGTAGAATATCTATTGATATTCATGCTGAACGTCAGTGGCTACACAGGGCCACTGCAAACAATCTGCTCAAACAAGCAGACATTCAGGTGGACACCACTCCACCAGAAATGCATTGATGAGATTAAACGTCTCGCATGCAGGGCTCCGATTCTGAAGCCCATCCAGTGGAATCCACTGGAAAACCTCTCGGAAGAAGAGAGGAGTAAACTCCATGTCTGGGTCATAACAGACACATGCCCAGTGGGCATGGGCACACTAATTGGACAAGGCAAAAAGTGGCAGACCTGCTGCCCAGCCGCATTCATGTCCAAGAAGTTCACCAATACACAACATAGGTACTTCGCCTATGAACTTGAGGCACTGGGTGTCCTCGAGGCACTCATGAGATGGCAAGATGATCTCATGGGAGGCTGTGAATTCACAGTAATCACAGATCACAAAGCTTTGGAATATTTCAAAGCGAAAAACCACAACTCAGGCAGACACCTGAGATGGCAAGCCTTCTTCACAAGCTTTAATTGCGAAATAAAATATGTGGAAGGCCACAAGAACAAAGTGGCAGATGCACTTTCACGGTACTATGTCTCGTCAACTGATGAGGATCTGCATTTCAACGACTACATGTTGGCAGATATCCATCTGGATAAAAATGCAGAAGACATTATCCCCAACAGAGTTGAGGAATATGAAGGACTGCTGCTAAGCAGTACTCTGAGTAAAAACTCAGAGAAAAAGAGACTCGCAGCAATATGCGTGAGAAATACCCTAGAAGAAGCTCTAGGGGGAGCGTCCAAAACCTGGAAGAAATCATAAGAACCTTCGAAAACAATTCAAAGGAAAGGACCTCATTGAGGCAATAAAATCTGGATACACACAAAGCCAGATCCACCAGGAAATCCTAGAGAACCCTGGGAATTTCAAAAACTTCTCCATAAAAAATGGGCTGATAACCCAACTTGGAGAAGGAGGGATGACCCAAATAGTAGTTCTGAAAGGGAACTACGAAAGGAAGTCCATTTGAGGAATAATCCTCAAAACATCCATGGAACACTTGGACACCTAGGATCCAAGAAAACAGTGGAAACCCTCCGTTGATACTTCTGGTGGAAGTCGATGAGGAAGGACACCCACAAGTTCTGCAGGTCTTGCGGAACTTGTCAGACAACAAAGAAAAGCACCATGAGAAATTCTGGACTGCTTCACCCACTCCCAACCCCAGAAACACCGTGGTTGTCAATAGCCATGGACTTCACAGGTCCATTCCCAACAAGCTTGGGATATGATTACCTCTGGGTAATCATCTGCAGGTTGATGTCCAACATCCACCTGATTCCAATAAAAACAACAACGAACGTATTAGAACTAGCATTTGTATTCCTTCATGAAGTTGTAAGACTTCATGGTCTACCACACTCAATCATATCAGATTGAGACTCGAAATTCATGTCAAAATTTTGGCACGAACTACACCGAATACTCGGTGTGCAGTTGAAATTCACAACTGCATTCCATCTGCAAGGTGATGGCCAAGCAGAAAGAATGATACAAAAAGTAGTACAGATACTATGTGTGATGGTCAGACCAGATCAACGCAACTGGGCAGCGAAGCTGTCGATGGCAGAATTTGCAATCAATGCAAGCTCAAACACATCGACAGGATTTGCCCCATTTGAATTAATCTATGGCCACATGCCAAAGATGTGCCTAACAGCACCACCCTCGGACTACCCAGGAGTGAACGACTTTGCCCAAAAGGCGAAGGAAAACCTCATGGCAGCACATGATGTGATAATACACAATCGCACTGCTCAAACAATCCAGGTGAATAAGAAAAGATGCCCGGACCTGCCTTTGAGAAAAGGTGAGCTTGCATACTTATCCATGGATAAGTTGAACCTACCCAAAGGAAGGGCAGGCAAATATATATAGGGCCTTATGAAATTCTGGAAACATTTCCAGAGATGTCAAACTATGTCCTCAAGTTGCCACCTGTCAGGGACAGCTCAAGAGAGGCGGAGGTAGTGGCATAAAGCTCGGCACTAGCAGCCCAGACGGCAGCAGGGTGGTGAGACCGTATGGTGGGCAGCCCTTCTCTGGGCTTATGTCCCTATGTAGCTTCTTAGGCTGAAGCAGTAGTGATTGTCATTAGGATGAAAGGCTAAAGTAAGATACTTGCCTGAAGCAGTAGTGAGAAGAAGGCTACTTCTTCGGTTCTGCTTTGGCTCAGTTTATATACAGGTGGGAACGGGTCACATGTGGGGTGCCACATCAGCCTGGGTAGAGCCGGGCTATTGCAGATGACTCCATGGGCGATCCCAAGTGTCAGAGGAAAGAAGTACAAATGAGGATGCGTGGCATACCTGGCGGCACAGTACCCACATGGAGTACTCGGTGTTGGGCATGTCCATGCTACACAGGTGAGAGGAGAGGTCGTCCATATAAAGAGAGAAAAGGAAAGAAGAAAGACAAAGGAGAGAGCGAAAGAGGGAAGAGAAGGAAAGAGGGGCAATGGGAGGGTGCGGCGCACAGCGGAGCGGCATGCCCTGACATCACCCCCCCCTTAAGCCGCTTCACCTCAAAGTGGCTAGGGGGTTCTCTCGTTCTCTCCCAGGGGTGTTGGGGTGGGCTTCATAGAACTCTTCAATTCGGTTGCATGCGTTGGCTAGGTTTGGTCGATTGTCCTAATTCTTTGTTTAATATTTGCTATAAATTCCCCTGAGAATTCCGTCTTGTTGATGCTAAGCTTGAAGTATTTTTGCTAATTTTCTTTCTTTCAATTTATCGCGTGTAATCGTAATAATTCGTAAAAAATTCGTTAAAATTCATTAAAGTTCAGGTCCTTCTATTTTATTTTCTCATATCTACTTGTTGTATGGGGTTTTGTGATTTATCTGGCATATTTCCATAATGGGTTTCCATAGTGTGTCCATTATTTCTCCTACACCATTCAGACACCTTTGTTCTGATTTGGACCCCCTTTGATTTCCTTGTGCTTTCATCTCCCTATTATATACAGGCACTTGTACATACTCGTTTTGGACCTTCAGTCTAAAATCGACCTGAAATGCCCCCTAGAGACTTCCTGCTCACTGCCTCTGAAATTAAGGACCAAATGGACAAACAGCAATGGCACAGCACTCTGCATAAGTTGCTGAGGCCAAGGTCCCTCCTTGCTAAGTCTCCGGTTCCCCTCCGGAATCATCCGCCCTTGCCCAGTTCTAACACCTGGTTTAAATAGGATCGGCAACTTTATCTTCAATGAAGTGCCTCCTTCTCTATCACCGTCACTCCAGATCTGAATTTCCATTCCCATGTCCTGTACATAATTGATCTGTGTGCTGTGTCCAAACAACCACAGCTGCCCCAATATAATATCTTTTCCATCCAACTTGTCTCATGTAATGAAGAAATTGTGGGGAACCTCAATGCCACCAATCGTGACTGGAACCTCCCTGCACAACCCTTCCAGTGCTATCTGGTGTCTGGAAACTCCCCTGAGTGACCAGGAGGCTCCTGATGGGTCCACTGGCAACTCTGAAAGACGAGCGTGCTTGCTGGTCATAATGTTAAGCTCACTGCCAGTGTCAATCAACATGGTACAAGGCCGGCAGAATATCATTCCCTGAATTTTTGCAGTTACCATGGCCAAAAACGAAGGTGGGCAATCTACATCATACTCTCCCATACAATCTGACTTCAACAATTCTTGATAGAATTTATCAGCTTGCTCCTCTACTGTATTCCCATCAAGAATGTCCCCTTCTTCATCCTCGCTCTCAACATTTTCCAACGATGCCACTTCAAATGGGGCAGGCACTATTTCTGCCTCCATTACCTCTCCTTCCATCTTGGAATCCTCAACCATCTCTACTGAGCTAACTGGCTTGGTAGGAACCCTATGAATTTTAGTTGCAGCCTGGAGACGTTTGTTTAGCTCATAGGATGAGCCAATTATTGCTCCAAGCGGCACATTGACTTCTTGCGTCATTAACTTGGTAAACAATTCTTCACCCCTCATTCTGTCCTGGAGCTCTGATGCATAATGGTATGCTGGACCCGGCCTTGGCTTTGGCACAGGATCCTTAATGGGCTCTTGAACAACTACATCATCACATATTGTTAGAATGGGCGGATTCGGACGACTCCGGAATGGAATCGGAGACTTAGTGTGGAAGGACCTCAGCCTCAGCGACTCAGGCGGAGTGCTGTGCCATTGCTGGTTGTCCTGGGGGTCCCTAATTTCGGATCTAGCAGAGGGAAAGTCTCTTGGGGGCATTTCAGGTCAATTTCGGACTGAGGTTACAAGTTACTATGTACATTGTATATAAGGAGGGGTCCGGAATCAAAAGGAGCGAGGGTACTCTGAAAGGAGACAAAGGGAGCTGAAAGGAGGGGCAACACCGAGGGTCAAGGGTTTGACTCAATGGTGTTTCCCAAAGGAGGAGTGAAGGGCCAAGGAGGAAGGAGGGAGGATGGGAGTGGGGAATGGCCAGCTGACTGAATAGAAAGGAAGCAGCAGCCCAAATAGGAATGAGGGAGTATAGCGGAATTGAATGGAGCAATGCAATAGTTGCAAGGTCCGACATAAGTCCGGAAAGTCCGAACTCGGAAGTTAAACTCCAGAATATTGGCAAAGGTAATTAAATGGAATGAGCTAACCAATACAATGGGTATAAGCGGAGGTGGGGTCAAAGTCCGAGGTCGGAGCTAAGACCGGAGGTTCCGGAGACAGAGATGTGAACAGGATTCCGGAGCGGAGGTCCGGAGTTGGGAGCATAGGTGTTGCATGCTCGTCTGGAAGGTGTCGAGGTTGAGGTCGGACCCGGAATGTTCCGGAGTCGGACCGAAGGTGGTGTCAGAGCCAGAGGTGGGATAACCTCTTGGGAGTCAGCAAGGAGGTGACAGAAGGGAAGTAGGACTCTGGAGTCAGTTTCGGAGTTCCGGGAGCCCGGAGCGGAGGTCGGGATTGTATGGATATGACACATATATCCCTTCCCCTTCTCTGTGTTTGCCTTTTTCCTGAGCCACCAGCTTAGGATCCACGTCCATCTTAGGTGGTGTACTCCACACTGGTCTTTTTAAAATCGTGGGTGGGGGTGGTACCTCCACATATGCTCTATTCCTCCTAGACTCATCCTGAGGAATAATCCTTACAACTGGCAGTGGAGGGCTAGGGACACGTTCATAGGGTTTAGCCCTAGTAGGCTTTTTGTCCTTTGCTGACCTATCTGCTGGGTAGACTTCAAACACGGGGTCTCCTAACTCTGCAAACTCATTGTTTGCTGACTCAAATTCTCACATTGTCAGGGACGTGTCCGGGGTGGAGGGGGCCTGGATGTAACACCCGGCAGAAGGACCCTCTCAGGGTGCGAAGTGGGCATGCATGCTGACAGGCCTGATGTGGGACTGCAGTCCCTGGCCACTTAGACTGAAGTGGAAAATGTGAATTGTCATTAAGAGGGAAAACTACACTACTTACCTGAAGTGGAAAATGTGAGAAGAAGGTTACTTCTTCAGTTCCCACTTCAGGTACATTTATGTACATGCAGCTTGGGTCACATGATGGGTGCCATGTCATCCTCGGAGAGAGCCACAGCCATCCAGGTGTCCCTGCAGGGGATCCCAAGAGCATCCATTGCAGGTGTGCATGCTAGGCATAGCGGGAAGCCGTCCAGGGTGTCTGAGCTGGATGGGTTAACAGTACAATGATACAAGGGAAAGTGGTCCATGTAGATAGAAGGAATAAACAGAAAGGGAGAATGAAATAAAGGAGAAGGAGGAAAGAGAGAAAAGGGAAGAAGGAGAAGAAGGAGAAGAGGGAGGAAGGAGGAGGGAGAAGGATGGGTAACAGGGGAGCGGGTGAGGTGGGCCTGGGTGGGCCCGGGTGGAGCTGGGTCAGGCAGGTGTGCCCTGACACACATCCACTCCACATTAAAAGCACTGCTCGCATGCCTAGCTCTCTTGCAGATCAAATTCATGAGCCCTCCTGAAACTCCTTCCCACCTGGGAAGCCTAGTTCCATCTGCCATTACCAATCGATTCTCAGCATCATACTTCAGTACTCCAGCTGCGACAAAAGCTCGCATCTCCAGGCAATTTTTGACTCCATCTCCATCTCCATCACACATATAGCACTTCCACACACCCAAAGGACTAGTTCTGGGTCTTTCTGAGATCTTCGTCAACTGCAACGTCAATTTATTGATCCGCTCTGCTAAATCATCCATATTGTTAGAGGAGTGCTGAAGGAGTGGAGCTGGATCACCTTATGTAACCAGTTTCCTACATCCAATAACGATATTAGAGTTTGTGCTGATTTGCATACTGACCGTGTTTTGGTTGCCAAATATATGATTGTTCACTGTCTAAACAACAATAAACACCCCCCAACGATCTCACCTGACGTATAGATCGTCTACGGATAAAATTCTATATTGACTTTACTATGATTTCTAGTCAATATTACACCTATATTTACCACTTTTCAGTAGGATGTGATTTTCCTGATAATTTACTGAAGGAAAACTGCTAATAGAATAATTCCGCAATAAATGTTACTCAATACAGGAGTGACCAAACTGCTCTTTCTATCGCTTAGAGTGCGTGCTAGTTATCTAGCAGGTTCAGGATCGCTCACTTTTCTCCTGTGGTGTGATAACCAAAAATTGCTGAGAGATTATTCAATTAAGAAGTCCCTCCACCAAATTCTCACTAATTCTCACTATGACACTTTTGTTCAGCTGTGTCTAACTGACCCTAACTCACGCTTAGAGTGACGTGTTAGTTTTATATTAGCTAACAACTAATATTTGCTTTTATCTTTTGGAGCAAACAAACCAACCACTGGTGAGGAGAATTAAACTTTTATTTCTACCTGAGGGGCAGAAGCGGTGGCCTTTTATGCTTTTCAGAGGCCTCTCTACTCCCATGCCTTGCACTGGTTACATGTGCTACATTTGTATTATAGATAGTTCTAGAATGATATAGGGGCTTGGGCTGTGTAAGCTTAATAATGGACTTAGGACATGACTCAGCAATAAGTAATTCATTTCTTTGTCTTTTGGGCCGATCTCAGCGGGATCTTGTAGCGCTGAAGCTATGCTCTACACCGCCTTAATTACGAACGGTTATCTTTAGAAATGACTCAGCTATAAAGGAACTTTCTAGACTGTTCTCTAATTGACCCCTTTTTGTGAAGCCGCATCATTACTAATGTTCTAGAGCCTTCCCAATTAATTAACTGATCCGCAGACTTCTGAATCACTTCATGCTTATGATCCGAGATCCAGATCATCAATCATTCCTTTGTTCCGATTTATTTGAGCTTAAAATCAAAAAGTTTTGATGAATCATGGGAAAATATACAAGATCCGGTTTTTTAGCATTTTCTCCTCTTCTGATGCGATCAAAAACTGTCCGCCCGCGCCGGGGAATACTCTATCATATGGTATTCGGTCCGCCAGACTTCCGGGCGCCAATATATTTCCCTTGAGTCACATTACTTTTTGTAAGAATTAGCAAATAAATATATATGAATTATAAGGTGTTTCGCCGTTTGAGCGATATCTCCGTCAGTTTTGAAGCTTTTAGAATGAAACAAAACCGTGGATAAAGTTAAGAAACAGTCCTTTCAGATGGTAAAAGGATTACAGTCAAAAGTTTACTGGTTCCCGAGATATTCACATTTCTTTTCCAATGTTCCTTCTTATTCTGCTGTCTATGTGCTATTTTCTTGTTGTAGGGTTATATTCTTTGAATATTACACCTATGCCAAGTTCTAGGCATGATTGTAGTAGATTAAATCTCATACTACATGGGTGTAGATAATTTATAATGATCTAATGTCTGTCCAGTCTCATAAAGATCATGAGATCTGTTAAACGTCTGAACTTGTCACCTGTTCGTTGACTATTCTGATAGATCATTGTTTTATTCTTTGAATATTATTTCTCCTACAGCGCAGAGTTGTCTGGAAGTGGAGAAGGGACTCAGGAAAGGAGGGACCTTGGCCTCAGTGACTCAGGTGGAGCGCTGTGCCATTGCTTTGTTGTCTAAGGTGGTCCTTAACTTCAGGTTAGCAGGGGGAGTCTCTTTGGGGAACAATCCAGTCGTTGCAAGAGGGCTCGCGGCTCTCTATGCCGACACAGCTCGTGGGGGACAACTCTCCCTAAACTCTACTTTCTCCACTAAACTCGCTACGTTCTCGATCCTTAACTCCGTGTGGGTTCTCCGGGATTCCGCAAGGTCCGGGCTCAGTGTCCACTACTCACTCGTTGTGAGCTAGATCACTGCCCTTATTCCTACTGTTGGAATTCCACACACTCACACCCTCTCTAGCGCGTCCTAGCACCTTAGAGAAAATTGGGGAGGGGAGAACTTCTATTCCAAAATCCGGTATGTACAGGATATAAGGAACAATTATTTTTAGAATAATTGATGAGAAATATTGGTACCATATGGCACCTGCATACCTTATTAGGCAAAGTAATAAAAAAGGGTAACAGTAACAATAAAAGAATATCAATCAATATCTGAAATGATGGCAAAATATGAAAATAAGAGAAAATAAGCGATATCTCAATGGATTTACGGAATTAAGAGCCTAAATTGGAAATGTAGCCGGAGATAACTCTCACACAGCCAATGAGCATTTTTACCAATTTATTAGACGCCGTGGGAACGAGTGAGGCTGGAATTCTGGGTTGCCGCTTGAGATTCCCACGCCCGCACATGCTCGTGACCTTCCGTGCCTAACCTGTCCAATATAGAACTCCGTCAAATCTCCACCGATTAGGACGTTCTTGGTATCGTCAGAATCGTACGAATTAGGACTATTTTTGGATACCAAATTCGTATCGAGTTGTCGCGTGAATGGAAGTGGTTTCTGAATGTTGGAAGCGGGTATCCGAGCCGGCTCTGCGCGTGGGCGATTATCCCGCCTACATCGTCATGGTCGATTTCAGACTGGGGGTACAGGAAACTATGTACAGAGTGTATATATAATACAGGAGTGGAGTCAGAGGACAAAGGGAACTGGAAGGAGGACAAAGGGGGACTGGATGAGGGAACAACCCCAAGGGTCAAGGGTTGGAACTCTATGGTGCTTCCCAAAAGGGCAAGGCCAAGAGGGGAAGGAGTGGAGTGGGTTGTGGGGAATGACAGCTGACTAATATGGAAAGGAAGCAGCTGTCTAAATAAGGAAGCGGCAACAAGAGGATTAAATGACACCATACAGTAGAGACTTCAGGGTCCAGAGTAAGTTCCAGAGGTCCGGAGTCGGAAGTCTAAGTCCAGAATATTGGCAAGACATAATAAATGAAATGTAATAAGGAATACAAGGAGATAAGATGGAGGAGGAGGTCAAAGTCTGGAGGCAGAGATGTGACCGGAGTTCCGGAGGTGGAGGTGCAATGGGGTTCCAGTACAGGAGTCTGGAGCTGGAGGTGTGGAGCATCACAAACTCTGGTCTGGAAGGTACGAGGTTGGGATCGGACCCGGGACATTGTGTTGGAGCCAGAGGTAGAGTGGGCTCTCAACAACCAACAGGGGGAGGTGGTGGTGGAGGATGTGGAGTTCTGGAGGAGGAGATGGAGGTCCAGAAACAGGAGTGGAGGTCCGGAGTTGTATGGATATGACACATATTGGACTTAAATACAGAGTCGGGCTCTGGCCTAGTTGCTTCCTTCTTCAACTCGGTAACCTTAGGCAGCTCTGTCAAACTCTTTGGCTGCCTCTTAGGAGGTGTCCTCCTATCAGCCTTTGACTCCGCTCACCTATGCCTATAAAGTTCCACTCTCTCCTCAAAATCCAACTCATCTGAGTCTGATCCACCATCATCCGTACTTGGCTCTGCCATAGCCTTGTACTCCTTCTCTGATTCTGTCTCGTCATCCGACTCTACATCTCAGTAGAGATCCTGTTGCAAAAACATCTTCACCAGTTTCACCACCTCTTCCATAGATGGTGGCAGCATCAAATCCGTCCACACATTCTTTGCCCTGAGCTCCTGCCCTAGCATCTTCCGTAAACTCTTTGGCTTTATTCCTCAATAGAAGTAATCATCTCTCTCAGAAGTAGTCAAGACCACTCTTCCCACCAGCAAAGCTACCATGACCCTGAATTTCCGGCAGTACCTGTCTAAATCTGACCTCCACTTAATCTTCCTGTCTGCCTCAACAAATCTCCTAAGATCCTTGATGCAGTATATCTTTTCCTCATGCTCTGCAGGGTAGAAGTTCAACATGTCCGCTTTGAGCTGAGGCCAATCCCCATCTTGCCAGCTTGACAATGTGCACATGAACTTCGTCTCCCTGTCCGTACAATAGGTCAAGATATGCTCACATCTTTGATCATCTGACAAATGCGCCCCATTGGCTAACAACTCAAAATCAAACAAAAACTTCTTAACCTTCATTCCTTTGAGGCATGGGGCCTCTCGACTACGAGACCCAGGCATATGTGTAATCATGGTGGTATGAATCGTGGTGGCAGCGACACCTGCCGGAATCTGGGGAGGTAGGGGATGTGGTTGGGGAGGGAGGGGGAGAGCAACTCCTCCAGTATTCGACATAACTTGTACAAAAGACGTGAAAATAAGCTGTTTGATGAATGCTAGACACTCAGCCAGTGCGCATGTGCGTCCAGAAGACTATTCTCAATATAGTACCCCAAGTAAAGGCTCAACTCTCAACGTAAGAAACCACAGCACACTGTAGCCCCCCTGTAAGGACCACCAGAAATGCAAGCAGGAATCTGCTACAGTCTCCAGGAAATGGAAGGTAGCACTCCAACTCACTCCCCAAAAACTAGGGAAGAAAGAGAAAGGGGGCTGAAAGGGTGTTGCGGTAAGTATGGGTCCGTATAATCAATGGGGAGGGGGGGGATTTCAGGGAAATATATAACTCTGGTAACTCTTGCTTATCTTCTTTCCGTGGTGGATTTCCAGGTCACAATAGCCCTTTACCAATCGTGTGGCCACTCACAGCACCCAAGTACATGGACTTCAAAGTAGCAGGAGGGGGGGAATCGCCTATTCCATTTCAATCGCTACGTACATATATCCATACAGCAAACATACAATTTGTGAAAAGAGTCCGAAATATATGGGTTTGGCTGAGCTAAGCCTCCACCAACAACGGCGGTAAGGTTCAGCTGCCGTTGGCTTAGAATGAAATTCCAAACAACAAAAGAAATTGAAAAGGAAAACACAAACTTCCTCATACCACTCCAAATACTACGTCAAACCTCCGTCCCTTTATTCCATCCGACTCTCCTTATCCATAGTTTTCTAACGATACCGATTTTGTGAAATTTGGTGGAGATTTGACTGAGAACGGGAATTCTCAGAAGCGGTATACATATCTCGATTATCCATGCACAGGGAAACTTGGTCCAAATAAAATGTCATAATTCCAGGACTCCTCCAATGACCTCTTCAGCATTTATATCATTAGACTAGCCCATATTTTCATTGAGACTAGCTCACACGTGAGCATCCAAACAGTTCTTATTGTCCCGTGATGTCATATCCATACCAACTCCGCCTCACCTCCGCTCCACTCCGCCACTGCTCCGGTCCACCTCCGGTCCATCCTCCCCTGCACCTCTGCCATACCCTCCAGTTCACCTCCAGTTCACCTCCACCTCCGATCTCCGGTACCTTCTCCAGTACCTCTTATCCTCATCCTAAACATTTATTAATATTTCTATCTACCCAATATTACTACAGACCTCCTAGGACCTCCACCACCCCTGCAAAGGTTTTCCCACTCTCCAGTAGCTGTCGCTAATTCCACCCTTCACCTACCCACTCCACAATGCTCGATAAGGTGATTCTCTCACAAGCTTGCTGACCCGGCAAGTGGGTAAGTCCCCCTTGGGTTTTCCCCTTTGTTCTCATTTGTCTTCTATTATGTATATAAGTCCTGTACTGTAGTTGATGGCACCTTAGTGCAAAATCGACAAGACTATTCCCCCAGAGTTTGTGCCCCTTGTTCTGAAGTTAAGGACCAAGCTCCTAAAGCATTATCGAACGTAGGCACAGCGCTCCTCTCTGAGTTGCTGAGGCCATGGTCCTCCCGCTTGTTCTCTACCTCCGGCCTCCTTCTGGGGAAAGGTCCAAGGACACTGCCCCTCCTCGCCATGTACCTGACAGTATTTTGCACTCATTATGTTCCTTTAAACGCTGACTATGTCTAGAGTAATTTGTACCCATTCACAGACTTGTGGCTTGATTATAGACGCGATGCCGAGAGCAGGAACCAGTTCTGGTCTTCCTGTTTCAAATAAACATGCTGGAGCTGAGTCTCCTAGTCCTACTTCTCGAACCGTTCCATCTACTACCAGCTCACAATCATCCTCTGAAAGACGTTCACATTCCCGCTCTCGAGTTACAAACCACTCTTTTATAGGTTCCGATTTCGACTGTGTTGTAGCCAGTAACACACATGACTCAGCTGTTTTTGTCGAGGCTGTTAATGAAGATGGGCTGGTTCCTCATGAACCCATCCCTCTCATTGACCTCAACCTCCCTATTCCACCAGTTCCTATTCTCGTTGGTGACAATAACGAAGTTGAGCAAGTCCCTGTTCCGGTACTTGCTGTTAGAACCGGGCGGAAACAGACGACTCCGGAGTGGAATCAGAGACTTAGCGTGGAGGGACCTTGGCCTCAGCAACTCAAGCGGAGCGCTGTGCCATTGCTGTTTGTCCATTTGGTCCTTAATTTCACAGTAGGTGAGCAGGAAGTCTCTAGGGGGCATTTTCAGGTCGATTTCGGACTGAACCAAAACGAGTATGTACAAGCGCCGATATATATAATGGAGGGGGCAAAAGCACAAGGAAAACAAAGGGTACCGAATCGGAATGAAGACGTCCGAACGGGAACAAAGGGTAGAAGAAGCGGAGCGGTACCGAAGGTCATAAGGCAGGACCTGTGATACATCCGAAAGGAGGTAGGGAGGGCGAGGCCCAGAGGGGCAGGAGGATGAGGAGAAGTGGGGATGATGACTAACTGGCTAGAATGGGAAGAAGCAGTAGTCCAAATAGGGATGGGGGGTAAAGGCGAGAGATACATTACAAGTGGCGAAAGTGCTGAAGGCGATCCGCGAAGCTTGGGGGTTGCAGAGCTTACGGAGGTTACGGAGGCGGGGTTGAAAGTCCAAGGGATATTGGCAATGGTGTTTACGTAGTATGAGGTCACCAATGCAATGGACTAAGACCGAGGTGGAGTCAAAGTCCGAGGTAGGGACTATGACGGAGGCTTGGAGCAAAGGTACGAGAGGTGTCCGAGTACAAAGTACGGGACAGTGGTGGAAGGTCGTAACTTGGTGGGAGGGTGGCGGAGGAGTACCAGAGGGAGGAGAGAGGGGAAAGGTAAGGGAGAGGGAGTGGCGGAAAGGAGAGTTGTCAGGTCCGAAGGTGAGTATCGGAGCGGATGGGGGAAGCATAGGAGGGTGACGGAAGGGTGGAGGTGTTGTGAGGGAGGAGCGGAGTAGGAGGAGGGGGAGTAGTAGGAGGGTGGCGAGAGGGGCGGCGTTCGGTCCAAGGGGAATATCGGAGCGGACGGAGATAGGGGAGGAGAGGGAAGGAGGAGCAGAGGTGGCGTGGGGGGTGAGAGGAGGTGTGTTGCCAGGACCGGGGGTGAGTATCGGAACGGCAGCGGTAGGGTATGACTCCGGAGGTGAAGAGGGTGGAGGTCTGGAAGTCGGGTTGGGGTCGGGTATGCACGGATATGACACTTGCCCAGTTAGCACAGGCAATAACCAACCTTGCTCGCTCCACCGCTCGTCCCACTCCAATTCCTGCTCCGGTTCCCGCTCCTGCACAACCTCCATCCACCTCCATTCAAACCAAGGTCTGAGAACCCAACCAGTTTGATGGGGTCAATCCTCGCAAACTCTGCACCTTCTTGGTCCAGTGTGAATTGAACTTTCAGGACCGCCCCCTGGCCTTCGTGAGTGACCACTCAAAGATCATTTATGCACAGTCATTCCTGATGGGGATGGCCCTTGATCGCTTCAAACCGGACCTTCTGGAAGGGTTGCCTGAGGGCGCTCAACCTTTGTGGATGGATAATTTTCAGGAATTCATTTTAGAGCTTAAGGAGAACTTTGGCCCCCATGATCCAATGGGCAATGCTGAAGACGAGATCCTCCAGTTGAGTATGAAAGACAGACATCACATCAATAAGTACATTGTGGAGTTTAATCGATATGCTATGCAGTTGCATGGTTATGGCAAGCCTGCACTTCGTCAGTTCTTTTACAATGGACTGCCAGAGCGTCTCAAGGATGATTTCTTGCATGTCACTAAGTTTCTGCTCTCCGGAAACTCGCGCAGACGTTCAATGCGCGATATTGGAAGCGTAAGGCTGAAGCTGGATGACATGTTAGACCTCCACCCTCCTTCACCACCACCTTCAACAAGGCTGCTGCCTCCCGAACAGCAAGTACTTCCTTCCATCCTTCCTCTACTCCCTCCGCCTCCACCTCCACTGTGGTTACAAAGCCTCCTAAAGACCACAAGAAGTCTGAAGGATGCCCCACAGCCAAACCGGACCTCTCTTCTAAACTTGGTGAAAATGGCAAGCTAACGCCGGAAGAGCATAAGTGCTGTTTCGATGGGAATCTTTGTATGTTTTGTGGCTTGTCTGGCCATATGGTCAAGGACTGCCCGAAATCATCCTCTCGCGCTTCCAAGGCACAAATTGCCCAAACTGCGCATTCTATGGCTCCTCCTGTAGAGCCAAAAAATTAGTTCACAACTCCATGGACTCAGCACAAACCCGGGGTTGCATTACTCCCTCGCATGCTATCAAAGAGGTTTGCTTGAGTGCCACCTCAATATCTGAAACATCCTCCCTCATCATTCCCGTTTCTTTTGTTCCTTTTCCTTCTTCTCTTTTGTCTGAAATGGTCTATTTTCTCCTCCTCCTTCTCTCCCTTCTGTTGTTGATTCAGGAAAACTGTTTTCTCCAAATGGTCTACCTCCTTCATTATCTGTTGCTCCAATTCTCCTGTCCTCACTTCCTCTTTCTCCTTTTCCTGTTACTTCTGTTCCTCCCAATAATAAAAACACCTCCAATGAGCAATACCAAGCTCTTGTTGATTCAGGATCGTCAGATTGTTTCATTGACGAAAAGTTCGTGACTAAGAACAACCTGTCGACCTATCCGGTTTTACCATTGTCTCTCCGCTTGTTTGATGGGACCACCAATTCTGTCATCACTAAAGCAGTAGACATTAAACTCCATTTTGCTTCCGGCAACATCACCCAGACAAGTTTCTACATCACCTCGTTGGATGGTACTTGTTCCATGGTTCTAGGACACAACTGGCTCACCCGCCACAATCCATTGATTGACTGGGTAAAGAGCAGTATCTTGTTCCGAACCTCCGAACATACCAGTCCTACCTCTGTGCACACCCCTCTGTTGCATCTGGAACTCATTCCACCTGTCGATTCCTCTACCCTGATTATACCGATTGCATCTGACTGCCAGACTCCCCCCATCGAGTTCGTTAGCCGCTCCGCATTCGCGAAGTTGTGCAAACTTGAAGGTTCTACTTCATATAGTCTGAGCACACTCCCGATAGAAGCTAAGCTCCATGCTGCTTCTTCAGCCTCTGAAGTTGTCGACCTTTCGGCCATTCCAGAGCAGTACCACGATTTTGTGGATGTGTTTAGCAAGAGCAAAGCCTCCATACTAGCGCCGCATTGTGAATACGACTTGAAGATCGACCTGGAGGAAGGCACATCACCACCCCTAGGAACCCTTTACTCCCTCTCTCCCTTGGAACTTGAAGCTCTTCACATGTTCTTGGAGGAACACTTGGCTTCCAGTTTCATCTGCCTGTTAGAGACCTGAGTGAGATGAAGGAGTTGTCTCCGTGGTGGAGGGCTTTGGCCTCAGCAACTCAGACCAGGAGCACTGTGCCAAGTTACACGTCCATGCCCTAATTTACTTACTGGCAATGAGAACCAAAAAGGGGGAATCAACTCTAGTCGATTTTCTCACTGGAGTGTAACCTATGTACAAGTTAAGTATATATAGTTACAGCGAGGGCAGGCCCGTGAATAGCGGGACCAAGTGGAGCGGAGCTAACGGGGATAGATGTTAGCCGACTGAATATTACCGACGAGTTGGGTTGCGGGTTTAACGGAATGACGGGTTAAGACCCACAAGCGGAAAGGAGGGATAGGCCCGAAGGTAGACTTGCAGGGCAAGCAAGTGAATTGCCCAGCGGAGGCAGGAATGCGCTAGCAGATGTCAGAGCTGTCTGGAGAGCTTCAGGGCTCCATACTTAGGGAGGCATAGGTAATATATTGAATTGGAGGGGTGGTGACCATCAGGGGGGGGAGGGTCGGAGGTGATCGCGGAAACCAGAGGCTCCGAGGTTAGTGGCAGAGGAGCAGAGGTAATCTGGAGGAGCGGAGGTGGTTGAGGGTGGTGGCTGTGGATGGATATGACACCGCCCTGCTACATCCTCCCATGCAGCACCAGTTCTCTTTGTCCGGAAGAAGGATGGTTCACTCCACCTTTGCGTCGACTTCCGAGGACTGAACAAGATCACGAAGAAGGATCATTATCCACTCCCCTACATATCAGACCTCCTTGACGCTCCCAGCCATGCCAAAGTCTACACTAAGCTCGACCTCCACCATGCATACCACTTGGTCCGTATTGCTGCGGGTGACAAGTGGAAGACTTCTTTTCGCACCTGCTATGGATCCTACAAATGGCTAGTCATGCCGTTTGGTCTGACTAATGCCCCTGCAGCTTTCCAACAATTCATCAACATGATCTTCACTGACCTCTTGGATGTTTCTGTGGTTGTGTATCTGGATGATATCCTCACTTACTCCAAGGACGATGCTTCTCACCAGGAGCATGTCCATGAGGTTCTCCGGAGACTCTGGGCTAACAGCCTTTACGCCAATCCGAAGAAATGTGAATTCCACACCGATACTACGGAGTATCTCGGCTACTGCTTATCTCCAGCTGGACTCACCATGTCAGGCTGTTCAGGACTGGCCTGAGCCCCATAAGGTTAAGGATGTCCAGTCCTTCCTTGGCTTCGCAAACTTCTATCAGCATTTCATCCACAAGTATTCTGACATTGTAGTACCCTTGACACGGCTCACGTGTAAGGATACTCCATGGCTCTTCTCCAATGAATGTCGCTCCGCTTTCCATCTTCTTAAAGATGCCTTTACCTCTGCCCCCATCCTTACTCATTGGGTGCCTGATGCTCCGCTCATCATGGAGACAGACGCTTCCGACTATGCAGTATCAGGGATCCTCTCCATCCATTGTTCTGACAGTGAGATATGCCCTGTTGCTTTCGCTCATGTACATTGTCCCCACCGGAGTTGAATTATGACACCCACAATAAGGAGCTCCTCGCTATACACGAGGCATTTAAGGGCTGGCATCATTATTTAGAAGGATCCGGAGATCCAATCAACGTTGTCACTGATCACAAGAACCTCGAATACTTCTCCACTACAAAGCTCCTGATGCAGCGCCAATGTCAGGGCACACCCGCCTGACCCGGCCCCACCTAACCCGGTGCCCCACCATCCACTCCTCCCGACCTCCCCCCTCTTCCCCTTTTCTCCCTTCCCTTTCTCCCTCTCCTTCTTTTCTAT